GATCTTGCTTATCCTACAGCCCCACTTAAGGACTCCAAAAGAAAAGGGTTTTTGTTGTTGTTGTTGCTATTATTGTTGTCGTTTGCCATGAAGTCAGTTCCGACTCATAGAGACCCTTACAGGGTTTCTGAGAGCAGCTGGTGGGTTTGAACTGCCTACCTTATGATTAGCACAGTTGGCAGGAAAGATGGACACATACAAATAAATAGGTTCTGGTGTGATGCCATATGATAAGCCTCAACCTCAGGTTGGTTTAAATTTCAAGGTCGGTTTGAACCTTAAGGTAGGCAGTTCAAACTCACCAGCCACTCCCTGGAAACTCTATACAGGGTCACTATGAGTCAGAACTGACTCAATGGCACCTATCAACATCAACAAATTTAAAGTTTTAGGAGACTTTGATAAGAGCAGGATCCTACTCATGAACTCAGGGTTATGAACTCATGCTTGACAGAGATGGATTTTGATGCAAACAAATAAATTTTCTTTTTGCAGATTCTGAAGAAATATTCTTGCATGTCACAGTTCCACGAAAGATAAGGTCAAATGACAGTGAAGATTCAGAGAAGCATGTAATTGACAAATAATTTTAAAAAATAATTTAAAATGTTAAAACTGATTCGTCTCTAATGCTTTACCTTCTTTGTGTTGTCAGAATATGCTAATTTGTTCGTTTGCAAAGCATGGTATTTTGATTGCATGTTTTGATCTTTATTTTTACCTCCCTTCTCCCTGCCCTTCTTCAATATATTCTTTTACATACTTACTCACAATTTTTCAAGAAATAAAAGCATATTTAAGTAAGTATCCCTGTAGAAAAAAGATCAGGATGAAGTAAGAATGAAAATTTTCCATATTGAATATTATTTTAAAAATTGATTGAGTTCCTTATATGATAGAGAAATGGGTTGTGAGTACAATTTAGACCTGAAAGACTTGATTCAGAAGTATCAGATTTAGTAACAGTAATTGGCCAAAGTAAGATGTGAAGACTAGACAAAGGAATATAAAAATATAACACTGATCTGGTTATAAATAAAACAAATTAAATATTAACTGGAGAAAGATGTTGAAAAAAATCCTTACTACATAGAAAAGTCATTAGAAATCTGGGTTGAAAAGTTTCTGTATTAAAATACTCAAAGTTAACATGTTGTTATGTCTTTAAATATTGTAGAATTGGGTCTGACTCATAGCAACCCAGTATAGGGTTTCCGAGAGTAGCTGGTGGGTTTAAACTGCTGACCTTGTAGTTAGCAGTCCAGTGCTTGTCCAATGGCACCACACCAGGATTCCAAACTTGGCATAGTTTTATCATTTTATATTATATTAGAAGTCACAGTACAGGGATTAATATTTCCATGTACTCAAAATAGTGGGAAAATGTCTTTAAGGCTGAAGTAGAAATTTTTAAAAAAAATAGTAAATTGAAATATTTAAAAATCCTTTAAACTTACATTGGTACACATAAGTGAAATCTAATGTAATTATGTTCTGCTACTCTTGGTGTCGAGTCAGTTCCAATTCACACTGAGCCTATCTATGCACAACAGAATGAAACATTACTTGGTCCTACGTCGTCTTCACAATTGTTAACCCATGAGTCCTTTGCTGCTTTCATTGTTTCATTCTATCTCATTGGAAGTCTTCTTTTTTGCAGAACCTCCACTATCCCAACTATGACATCCTTTTTCAGGGACCAGTTGTACTTCTAACACAGATTTGTTTCTTCTTATTACAGTCTGTGGTACTTTTAACATCCTTCTCCAACACCATACCTCAAGTGCATGGGTTCTTATATGTTCTTCGTTCTTCAGAGTTCAACTTTTCACATGCATATGAGGTGATTGAAACTACCAAGGCTTAGATCAGTCACATCTTAATCCTCCAACTAATGTCTTTGTTCTTAAACCCTTTAAAGAAGTTCTGTGCAGCAGATATGACTGATGCGATATGACATTTGATTTCTTCCATAAGGATTGATTGTGGATCCAAGCAAAATTATGACAACTTTAGCCTTTTCTCCATTTATCATTATTTTTTTTTTTATTGATCCAGTTGTGAGAATTTTTTCTTTCTTTACTTTAAGATGCAATTCAAACTTCATCAGTAAGTATTTCAAGTTCTCTTCCCTCGCAACAAGATTGCATGATATGCATATTGCAGGTTGTTAATGAGTCTTCCTCCATTCCTGATGTCGTGTTTGTCTTCATATAATAGTTTCTCAGGTAAATTCATTAGCATACAGACTGAATAAACTTGGTGAAAGAATACAACCCTGCCACACACATTTCCTGATTTTAAATCACTCAATATCCCTTTTTCTCTTCTTGGTCTTTGCTCAGACTCATCATGAGCATAATTAAATGTTCTGGAATAACCATTATTTGCAATGTTATGCAGTTTGTCAAAATTTATGCAGTTGAAAGCCTTTGCATAGTCTACAAATCAAAAGGAAATATTTTCTCTTTTCATTCACAATCCATCTGATGTCAGCAATGGTGTACCTTATCCACACACTCTTCTGAATCTTGCCTGAATTTCTGGCAGTTCTATGTCAACTTACTGCTATAATTGGTTTTGAATTCTTTTTAGCAAAATTTTACTTGTGTGTGATATTAATAGCATTGTTCAATCATTTCTGTATTGCATTGAATCACCTTTCATTTTTTTCCAACCTTGGCATTCCAATTACAAGTAGTTATCAACACATCCTTATTATATATTTGATCAATTTCAAGCAAAGAATTTAGAAGTCTTCAATGTTATAACCACTGGCTTTATTGTTTGGTGTATAAATTTGAATAATAATTGTATGAACTGGTCTTCCTTGCTGTTTTTATTAAATACCCTTTAGTCAGTTCTAACATAAACCCACCTGGTATAATGATTCCTAGGAGTGACCAGTGGGTTTGAACCACAGGCCTTGTGGTTAGCTGTGCAGTGCTTATCCTACAGCCCCATACCATCACTCTGGTCTTTCTTTTAGGCATATGTAAATTATCTTATTGCAGCCAGCATTGTACCACAATTCAAAGATAGATCTTGAAATGTTCTTTTTGACAATAAATATGGTGCCACTCCTTTTCAGTTTGTGGTAACTGGCATAGTAGTAACCCACAAGATTGTCAGATTAAAAATGACCTATTCCAGTCCATTTCAACTCACTATTATCTGGGATATTGATCTTTATGTGTTTCTGTTCATTTGATGAGATATAGTCCAAATATTCAACCTGTGCACTTGAACAGAGAAACCCCATTCCTGGATGTCGCTACTTCAAGATACTGAACGTTATTTTTACTAAATTCTTGATAAAATCCTTTGTTGTGGGCAAGTGCCATTATTAAGTTGGTTCCAACTCATAGTGACCCTGTATAGGGTTTCCAAGGAGCATCTGGGGGGTTTGAACTGCTGACCTTGTGGGTCTCTGTCCAGTGCTGATTCTACAGCATCACCCTAGATTATATGATGTTTTGGCATTCCTCACTAGACTCTTGTCTGCTGTCAATTTTTCAGTTCCTTTTCTTTACTAGTTTTATGTACTGAGGGTTGCAATGTGGCTCTATGTATGTTTGGGAATTTATGTATATGTGTAAATAAATTTTCTATTGTTTCATATTAATTGTGGAATATAACCCTATCACCATGACACATTCATCTCAACTAGAATTAAAAAAATCTGTTTTCCTAAATTCATTAAGTGCCATTGAGTCAATTTTAATTCATAGCATCCCTGTACAGGGTTTCCAAGGAGTGACTGATGGGCTTGAATCGCCAGCCTTTTGGTTAGCAGTGCTGAACCTACAGCATGACACAACAAGTAATGTATAGTTTTAAGCATACTGAACTTTTTTCTCCCTTCAAATTATTCTCTTTATTTCTTCCTTAAAAACAAAAAACAATTCCTATTCATTAAATTAGTCACAAAAAAACAAATCAAACTTACTATAGATGAATACATCAACGTTATGTTGCTCCATCACTCAGCTGTCAGTTTGTTATACTGTGCTGACTTGCATATTACTGTAATTCTGGAAGCTACAACATGCTGGTATTTTAAATATCAGCAGGTATTCCTCACAATGGTGTTGAATTTATTAGGTTTTTAATAAGAATAAATTCTTATTATCTAAAATAATGTATACCGAAGAACATATTCATGCTTTTAAAATACTTCAGTGCATTTTCTACTTGGATAAAAAATAAAGTTTTACTTATATACTTCTGATTACTAAACAGCTTTTTAAATTTGTTTTATTTTAGGCTACTTATATCATTAAAATTAATGGAAAGCCATACACTCTGCAACTACAAAAACAGTAAGACATAATTTCTTTAAAGTTTAGATTTTATTTAAAAATTATTTTATATAGGATTTAAATTCAGAAATACAATATTAAATATGTTGTTGTTGTTAAGTACTGTTGAGTAAGTTTTAACTCATAGTGATGTTGTATAGGGGTTCTGAGGAGCAACTGGTGAGTTTGAACTGTTGACTTTGTGGTTCACAGTTCAGTGTTGATCCTACAGTAAATGCCACAACAGGAATACAATAATATATATATATAATAATTTAGGATTTTAATTTTAATTATAAAATAGGATTCACAAGGTGTTAAATTAGGATTTTAATTTTCTAACTTTTTATTTTGAAATTAGGAAATAATTTACATATCTATAAACTTTCTATTGAGTATATTGAGCACATTGATTCCAGGAATCACAAGTTACAAATTAAGCATGTATGATATTATGTCAAAGGTATGTCACAACATCAAGTTGTATATGAGTATATTAATGACATAGCATTTACCTTTAAATAACTTTGTTTAGCATATTTTGCGTATCATAGAATTCATTCATTTCAATTGTACAATAGTTTCAATAACTCTAACCAATATTGCCATAAATCAATTTTAGAATATTTTCGTTCCTCAAATGAGATCTCTCATGGCAATCACAGTCAATCCCTGTTCCAACCCACAACCCCTTGCAACAATCTATTTAATGTCTTCAAATTTTTACTTTCTCCTGAATCAAACTGCCTTTTCTTTGTCTGCATCTTTGAAAATATATATTTATAGCCTTTTGTCTGGCTACATCTTTGTAGTTTAACAAGGCTGGAGAAAACTATTCTAACTTAATTCATTACAGTTCTCACTTAATTCATTATAATTAAACTTGTCTTGACCCTTTGACAACTTTGCTAAAAATGCCTTGTGATAAGATCATCAATGAAGTTTATGTTTCTTATCATGATATTTGTTAGTCTTTATTTTTTTTAACCAGTCAGCATCTTTTGCTTTAGCTGATCATCTCCCTTCCCTAAAATAATTTCATTACTTGATTTCCAGAATACCACGTACACCTGTCTTAACTCTCCCTATTGTAGTTCCTTATCAGTCTTCTTTACTGATGAGAATTCCTTCTCATCTCTCCAATTTATGAACTCTGAGTGTCCTTGATTCCTGTCTGATTTCTCTAGTTACACTCATGACCTACTTATCTAATTCATCTTTTAGCATAAAATACTATGTTTTGATTATGCTAAAATGTGCAGCTCTACTTTATCCATTTCCAGAAAATATTAATTTATGTGATTAATTACTTGATACTTCCTCCTAGAGGTATTTATTAAATTCTTGTACTTTGCATGTTCAGAATTAGTTTCTGATCATCTTTGCAATGCCAACTCCATTCTTCCAGCTACTCAGGGCAAAAATCTTGAAGTTATCTGACATATCTTTTGTTTTACTTCATAACCAAAGGATTATTAAATTCAATGTATTCTGTTTCTTAAATATGATATGATAGCGCCTCTAAAACTACTACTATTCTAGTTCAAGCCACCATCATTTCTTATCAGGATAGCTGGATAGCATTCTATGTGACCTCTCTGCTTTTTCTAATTTGTCCTTACAGATTATTCTCTTCAAAGCATTTAGAATGACACTGTTAAAATATTAGTCTGATCGTATCATTTATTTGCTCCAAACCCTCTAATGGCTTTGTGAACTATCTGCTATTAAAACCAAAGCTCAGTTTCTGTTGAGTTCACTCTAACTTATGGCAATATCATGTGTGTTTGAGTACAATATGCTCCATGGGGTTTTCAGTGTTGATCATTTACCAGTTGATTGCCAGACCTTTCTTCCAAAAGCCTCTGAGTATACTAAAAATGCCAACCTTCCCGTTAACCACCAAGTATGGTAAACATTTGCACTACCTGGACTAATTCTTATTTCTTTTCACTTCACTCCAAGCATATTGTCCCTAATTGTTCCTTGTTAACAACACAAAAGTCATTTTTGCCTCAGGATCTTTGCATTTTCTCTTACTTCTGTTTTAAATATCTATTTATACAAATCAATGCCATTTATTTTTTAGTTATCAAGGAATCAATAAACCTCCATCAGCACCTTATTTATCATCATCCACAATACCTGTGGCATATATCTTTGACTGTCCTGAGCAGCAGGGTTTTAAGTCTACTGTTCTATGCCAACAACTAGAAGATGGTCTGTTAAATAGTAGACACTTGGTAAGTATTTAATGAAAACATATATAGCCATACAAACAAGTTTCTGACCATAGAGGAGTCACAGAGTTAAGAAAGCCTGGAATCACTAATACACTATTTCTATGAATTTTAACTCTAATGAAGTAACCCTAATTAAAACATGCTACCAAGTAGATTCTATACATTTTATATTTATTTTATATTTTTATGTTTATATCATATCAAATTCATGACTCAAACATTTTTTATATTTGTTTTTATTAGTTCATTCTTACCGCAGAACTTTTTGGTTTATACGTACAACAAGACTGGAGTTTTGCATTCTGAGTCTTCATATTTAAAGGTAAGGCTCTGGTATCACAGAAGTCTATTACCATATATTTCTCTATTGAAGAGGCCGTATCACAAACATTGGGATATATTTGTTTCATGTTGACTCTTGAACACAAATATTTAATTTCATATAACTCTGGCTGCTATTTCAGGTTAACATACAAGGAACCCTGATGATGCAGTGGGTTAAGTGTTTGTCAGTTATGCAAACACACGACAGTCCCATGGAACAAAGATAAGGTTATCTGCTCCCATGAAGAGTTACAGTTTTAGAAACTCTAATGAGCAGTTCTATATTGTCCTATAGTAATGCTATGAGTCAGAATTGACTTCCTGGTGGTGTGTTTTGGTTTCCTTATACATAGAATGGAAGAGATGGAATCCATGTATGAGAGACAGACTACTCCCAAATAGTCACTGAAAAACTTATGAATAGCAGTGTAATACTATCAGATAGCACAGGAATATTGACTATTGCAACATGATGAAGAGCACCAGGATTTTGTCAGATGATGTGCAGGAAAATTAGCCGCTTATGTTAGAAGGCACTCAAAATATGACTGGAGAAGAGCTGCCTCCACAAGGTAAAGTTGACTGTGATGGTGGGAATAGAGTAAAGCATTGTTGTTGTTACGTGCCATTGAGTCAGTATAAACTGATATCAACTCTATGCACAACAGAACAAACATTGCCCAGTCCTGCCCCAATCTCACAATCATTGCTATTCTTGAGTTAATTGCTGTTGCCACTGTGCCAATCCATCTCACTAGGGATCTTCCTGTTTTTTCTCTGTCCCTCCATTTACTGAACATGATATCCTTCTCCAGGGACTGATCTCTCTTGACAATTTGTTCAGAGTATGAGACACCAAGTCTGGCCATCCTGCCTTCCAAGGAGCATTCTGGCTGTACTTCTTTTAAGACAGATTGGTTTGCCCTTTTGGCAGTCCTTGGTACTTCTAATGTTCTCCCTCAACACCATAACTCCAGTGCATTAGTTCTTCTACGGTCTTCCTTATTCACTGTCTAACTTTCACATGCATATTGTGGCTGTGTGCCCTGGAGTCGATTCTGACTCAGCAACCCTGTACAGGGTTTCTGAGGCTGTGAATCTTTACGGGAGCAGAAAGCCTCATCTTTCTCCCACGGAACAGCTGGTAGTTTCGAACTGCTGACATTGCAGTTTGTAGCCCAATTTGTAAACAGTACGCTACCAGAGCTCCTTAGGTTATTGAAAATACTATGACTTGTTCATCAGCACTTTAAAGGGATCTTGTGCAGCAGATTTTCCTAATGTAAGATGTTGTTTAATTTCTTGACTGATGTTTCCGTGAGTGTTGATGGTCAATCCAAACAAAATGAAAATATTTGACAACTTCAATCTTTTCTCCATTTATCTTGATGTTATTTATTGGTCCAGTGGTGAGAATTTTTTTGTTTTCTTAACATAGAGGTGCAATATATACTGAATATTTTGATCTTCAATCTTCTTTGGTAATTGTTTTAAGTCATCTTCACCTTCAACAAGTAAAGCTATATCTTTAGCCTATCACAAGTTGTTAATGAGTCTTCCTCTAATCCTGATGCTATGCTTTTCTTCATATAATCCAGCTTTATCAGATTATTTGTTTAGCAAGCAGATTGAATAAGTATGGTGAAAGAATACAACTCTAGCCCACAACTTTCCTAATTTTAAACCATTCAGTGTTCCCTTATTTTGTTTGAACGACTGCCTCTTGCTTTATGCACATGTTCCTCATGAGTACAAATAAGTGTTCCAGAAGAGTCATTCCCCTCACTGCTGTCCATAGTTTTTCATGGTCCACACAATTGAAAGTGTTTGCATAGTCAATGAAGCACAGGTGAACATTTTTCTGATATTCTCTGCTTTCAGCCAACATCCAATTGACATCAGCAATGATGTCCCTTATTCCATATCCTCATTTGAATCCTGATTGAACCTCTAGCAGTTCTCTTTCAATGTACATTTGTAACCATTTTTGAATTCCCGTTAACAAAATTTTTTTGCTTGAAATATTAATGATATTGCCCAATGATCTCCACATTCCATTGGGTCACTTCTCTTTGGAATGGGCACAATTATCCTCCAGTGAGCTGGCTAGGTAGATGTCTTTCAAATTTCTTGGCATAGATGAATGAGTACCTCATCAGCTTGTAGAAATATTTCAATTTGTATTCCATCAGTTTTTGAAGCCTTTTTCTTTTCAATGCTTTCAGTGCACCTAGGACTTCTTCCTTCAATATCAGTGACTCTTGATCATATCTTGACCTCTTGAAATGGTTGAACAGCGACCATTTATTTTTGGTACAGTGACTGTGTATTCCTTTCATCTTCTTTTAATGTTTTCTGCATAATTCCATATTTTAAAGTTGAAGATTCAATTTTTTCTTCATTTTCCTCAGCTTGAGCAATGTAGAGCATGTTCTTCCCTGTTGCTTTTCTAACTCTAGGTCTCTTCACAATTCATTATAATATTTGACTTTGTCTTCTCAAGCTGACCTTTTAAATTTTCTATTTACCTCTTTTACCTCCTCATTTCATTATTTGTTGTAGCATCTCTACACTGGAGAACAAGTTTCAGAGTCTCTTCTGACATACATTTTGGTCTTTTCCTTCTTTCTTTTCTTCTTAATGGTCTTTTGTTTTCTTCCTGTATGATGTCTTTGTTCTTTAGTGTCTAATGCATCAAATCTGTTCTTCAGATCTGGTGGCACATATTAAAGGTCACATTTTGATCCTTGTGGATTTGTTGTAATTTTCTTCAGCTTCAACCTTAGCTTGTATTGAGAAATTGACAGTCTGTTCCACAGCCTGCCCCTGACCTTGTTTGGCTGATGACATGAAACTTTTCTCTTTCCACAGATGCAGTCAGTTTGATTTCTGTGTATTCCATCTGGTGAGGTCCATGTGTACAGTCATATTTTATGTTGTTTAAAAAATGTATTTGCAATGAAGAAATCATTGGTCTTGCAAATTTTTATCATGCAATCTCCAGTATCGTTTCTATAACCAAGGCCATATTTTCAAACTACTAATCTTTCCTCTTTGTTTCCAACCTTTGCATGCCAATCGCCAGTAATTATCAATACAACTTGATTGAATGTTTGATCAATTTCAAATTGAAGAAGTTGGTAGAATTCTTCAATTTCATCATCACTGTCTTTAGTAGTTGGTGTGTAAATTTTAATAGTGGTATTAACTGGCCTTCCTTGTAGAGGTATGGATAGTGTCCTATCACAGACAGAGTTGTACTCCAAGACAGATCTTGATATGATCTTTTTGATGCTAAACTCAGTGCCATTCCTCTTCAATTTGTCATTCCTGGCACAGTAAACTGTGTGATTGTCAGATTCAAGTTGCCAAAAATGAAACAGAATGCATAAACATTGATAGTCTCAGCATGAGTAAGCTGAAATTGACTGGTATTGGCCATTTTGAATCTGACAATCACATGGTTTACTGTGCCAGGAAAGACAAATTGAATAAGAATGACATCGCTTTCATTATCGAAAAGAACGTTACAAGATCTTTCTTGAAGTACAAATCTGTCTGTGATAGGATAATATCCATAGTTCTACAAAGAAAGAGCAATTAATACAACTATTATTCAAATTCACAAACTACTAAAGTCAGTTGATGAAATTGAATAATTCTATCAACTTCTTCAACATGTAAATGATCAAACATTCAATCAAGTTGTATTGATAATTACTGGCAATTGTCATGCAAAGGTTAGAAACAAAGAGGAAGGATCAGTAGTTTGAAAATATGGCCTTGGTTATAGAAACACTGATACTGGAGATCACATGATAGAATTTTGCAAGATGAATGATGTCTTCATTAAAAATACCGTTTTTAAACAACATAAAGGACAACTATACACATGACCTTACCAGATGGAATATACAAAAATCAAAGTGACTACATCTGAGGAAAGAGATGGTGGAAAAAGCTCCGTATCATCAGTGAAAACAAGGCCAGGGGCAGACTGTGGAACAGACTGTCATTTGCTCATATGTAAGTTCAGGCTGAAACTGGAGAAAATAACAGGAAGGCAAGGAGAGCCAAAATATGATGATCATTATTTTTTTAACTTGCATCTTGTTTTATTCAATTTATTTGAAATAATCTTTCACATATTAAACTTATCCTTAATAATAGGCACTATATTAATATAAACCCATCTCTATACATACAATGTAATTACAGAGGGGGAAAAATGTGAACTATATATACTAAGTGCTCTGGTAGCGTAGTCGTTACCAGTTGGGCTGCTAACCTCATGGTCAGCAGTTCAAAACTACTAGACATTCCATGGGAGAAATATGAGAATTTCTGCTCCTCTAATAGCATAATGGTTATGAATCGGGCTGCTAACCTCAAGGTCGGCTGTTCAAAACTACCAGCCGTTCTGCGGGAGAAAGATGAGGCTTTCTGCTCCTGTAAAGATTTACGGCCTCAGAAACCCTGTGCAGGGTCACTATGAGTTGGAACCGACTCCATGGTACTTAACAACAACAAAAACAAAGATTTATGGCAACCCTATACAGAATTGCTATGAGTCAGAACCGACGTCATGGCACACAACCAACCAACCAAACAAATAACCTTTGGGGGAGGATAATGTGAAGGAAGATAACAACTTTTTATCACATATAGTTTTATTTTTTGTAAGTTTTTATTGTGAAATGAGTGATAGTTTGCATGGGAGAACATTGGTTTTACACTCATCCTACTATATCTCATTTCATTGCAATGATTACAATCTCCTCCATGCATCATCATTTAACACTATTTGCTTTTATGGGATGTACACAAAAACACTCAGGAATATCTATTATTTAAACAATCAAATGGCACATTCTGTAATTCTGCCTCCTGGCCTCTAGCACACAGCCTTTCTCTTTCCTTGAGTCTAGAGTCCTCAACTGCTCTATCTCTCCATGTAATTAATCATCTTTGCCTCTATCTCTGGTATTGTTGCTTCTTTGGATAGGGTCCCACAGTCCACTCATGCTCTTCTCCCTTGATAGTCCTAGGGAACTCTGTTTCTGGACTGTAAGATTAACTTAACTTCTGCCCTTATTTTGTTACAAAACTTCTACCTTTAAAGATGTGATGATCATAATTAGTCATGATAACAATTTCTCACTACTGAATCAAGAATCTTATCCCCATCTCCTTTCATCAGACCCATCTAGACAAGATGAAAACTATTCAATGGGAATTCTACCTTCCCCCGTGCACTCTGAAATTAAACTCCCTCTTGAAAACTTGTAAGCCAGTCACTTCATGCCTTTATAGCCTACACCACCCCTTTTTAAGTAGTTAAGTCTACGTTGCCCGTTCCTATCAACCCTGTGTACATAGAGGATAGGATTGATCCTTGATGTGAAGATTTCTTCCCTCTCAGTTGGTATTTTGAGCTACTACATCCATAAGTATAGGTCAAGTTCATAAAATTGTTGCAATTTACACTTGTTTCCTTTATAAAAAATTTTTTTCATCTCCTTTTAGTCAAGTTCTGATCATCAAGCCATCAAAGATAGGTCAAATGGATATTATCTATGATTTTGGGCATTCTTGTACATCTCCTCTCCCTTCATATCAGCTGGAATCTTCACTCTCAGCTCTAGCCCTCCATAGCAATGTCCTTGTCCATGGGCTCAGGAGTCCTTAGGTCTTACCGTACTTTAAACCAAACAGCCCTTTCTCTTCTCTCTTTCATCTCTAGGTCGATGGAAGTCTATGGAACATGGTCAAACTCAGCCCATATATTCATTACTGCCTTTCCCCATCTTCCACTCACCAGTAGACCAACGTGGTCACCAGTAAGCTTACATGCCTGATCATGTGTTCCCTTTGAGTTTCAGTCTTGAAGGGCAGTTTGTCCTGAAGGGACTTGATTGCTTGCCTTAATGGCTCCCTGGTGAACACCTTGCTTGTTCTTGCAGTAGTCAATCAGACTGCCATTTTTGTTTTTTATTTGCCCTGCTGGTCTTCCTTTCATGAAGTATCTTTTGTAATTCTAGCTGCTCCAGGCTGTTCTGCTTGTCCTTTGCAAGGGGACTGTCTTACCTCAGAAGGTTCTGGATGGGGCTCAGGATTCCACCTAAGGTCCTATACACTATAAAGTCTCCACAAGAAGCCTGTTTCACTGGACAAGTTCTTTAACTCTTTTTAGGTATTCCAATAAATTATAGGCTGAAGACAGGCTCAAAAGCATTCTGTAATTATGTTTCCTGATATTCTTTTCTATTCCACTCGTGTCTATTTTATTAATAACAGGCAAGGGAAAGTAGACTGTCAGGCATCTTAACATTATTTCCCCATTCAGACAATGTCTCGATCCTTGTATCATAGAGCCCTGTTATTCCAAGGTTGAGCATATATAACTATTTTAATTTTTCACAATACATATTTATAGCTCAATCAAATAATTTATCTTATAAAAATCCTAATAAGGCACAATTAAAACTATATTTTTTATCCACCATTTGTATTCAATAAAGACTGGAAAGTTGGTGCAGAACTGGGTAGTGTTTCATTCTGTTGTGCATAAGGTTGCTAACAATAAGAAATATGATACACAGTAGTAAAAGTTGTAAAAACCTTTATTTCTCTGAAAATCTGTGTTAAAAATTCTGTATAATTATCTTATTGTTGACCAATGATTTTAATGTTTTGAATATCCTGCAATGTTTGACAATACATTTTTATTTAGAAAGAATTATTGATTTGCCTTCCTACATTCTATACTGTTTTTCAGGCTCATTGTCATTACCAAGGATATATTGCAGATTTTTCGAATTCAGCTGTGACACTCAACATCTGTTCTGGACTCAGGTCATCTTAGACAATATACATAGATGAAAAACTTAAGGCATACTTTAAATTTAAACTTAGTGGTTGGCAGATATTTAAAAATTAGAAACATTTAAGGAAATTAAAATCTGAAAGTTCTATGATGTGATAATTTTAATTTATATTAGCTTGGATATCTGGTTTAAATAATCATTCAAATGATTGGAAGTATTTCCAATAACTGTACAACAAAAATAGTTTCAGGCAAGGAAGTTTTAGAATGTCTTTTTAAACACTATTGCTGCATTATCTATCACTTATCTCCATTAATTTTGGTAACTGATCTTAGTGACTTAAATATGATAAGCACCTCTAATACGCTCAGTCTTGGGATATTCAGTACTAGTCATAAAAACAATTGATTAGAAGTTCTCCCGGAGGTAAAGGGTAGGGTAAGTGGTTTTGCCATTGAAATGTGTTGAATTTATATGGAAGAAAAATTCAGAGTGTGGTAAAAATGCTTTCTCTGACTTTTTCTTTTTTTGGTTTTAGTTGCCTGATTTCCAGAATTTATATGCCAGTCAGAAAATTGGTTTTCTTTGACTGTGGTTTTCGTGGATATCAATCTCTTTGAACATTCACTCTATATGATCTATTCCCACTTATATTAAACTTTGTAAGAAAAGGAACTCTATTCTTGAAATTTTGAACAGATATCTTAGCACCTAGTTTCAAAAGTGTACTTTTAACAAATGAAATTACTACCCAGAAATTATAAAATACTTTTCACCATATTTAGTTTTTAAAGATGTGAACTAAACTAAAGCAGATGTGGCTACCCAGTAACTAATTAGTAAAAGATTGTACTGAATAAGGGGGAAAAACAACAGTTGGCCTAAAACCTGTTGTTTACTATCATTCCTTATGATCTTACATTTTAGATTCTAGCTTTGATGAGATCATTTGCATGATTTTTGTAATTATTGCCTTCTGAATATACAGAGGAGTCCTTCAGTTTGAAAATATTACCATTGGAATTGAGCCAATGGAATCTTCCGCAGGATTTGAGCACATAATATATCAAGTGAAAAATAATATTCCAGATATACCAATGTTAGCAGAAAATGGAAGCAACACTTGGCAGAAAGACCAGACCAATAAGGTTTATATGAGTTCACAGGTAACTGGTGATTCTGATGCCATTGCATTTAAGGAAATTACTGCTGTAGAATTTTGTTAATCATGAAATAATATATTTGACTAACAATTGTTCAATGTTGTTGTTAAATGTTGTGGAGTCGATTCTAGCTCATAGCAACTCTGTATAGGATTTCTGAGGAATGGCTGATGGGTTTGAACTGCCAGCTTTATAGTCAGCAGTGTAGTGCTTTTGTCTTACAGTACCATGCTGTCTGATTTCTATATCTAAAAACATCAAATTTCTTCTAAATTTTCTTTGATGAAATCTACTGTTAGATTCCTCTAATGAAAGTATCATATTAGTTATTTTACTTTTCAACTCTTTACTGATATTCTCTATTTGCTGACAAATAATTTTAATAGCTCCTTTTATTTCTTTATTTGCTTTAAGTATTTTGACATATTTTAAATAACTTATATAAAGACTTTTTATAGAAAGTCCAACCTCTAAATTTTCACAAAGACAGAGTGTGTATAGTTTGCACTTTTTCCTGTGTATAAGCAATATACTTTTGGTCTTTTCTCTTTTTTTGATTTTTTTTTTCATGACTTAAAATTTTTTTATTGTAATCTAGACATTTAAAATTGAGTCCTGGTGTGGTACTGTGGGTTAATGCACTGGACAGCAAGGTTGGTTTGAACTACAAGTTCGGCGGTTCAAGTTTACTAGTCACTCTTTGGAAACCCTATACAGGGACGATATGAGTCGGTACCAACTTGACGGCACTTAACATCAACAACAGACACTTAAAATAACATAATGTTGTAGGGTTTCTTGGTGTATGTGTGCATTTTCTGAATTAATTTAGTAAATTAGATATTATTTTTGCTTATTATTTCTGAATTTTTTATTCTGTTACCTTAGTAGTGATCTAATAATTCAACAGAGATTAATTTAAATAATTGGAACCAATAGATGTCCAGTCTTTGCATAAGGTCTCTGGAGCACACCTTCAGTACTGAACCATGATATATGCTGTCTTTTACTTTACTTCCAACTTTCACACTGCCTCAGTATCAGTCAGATGTGAGCAATTAGGACCTTTTAAGTCTTTTCTGAGTATGTGCACAGCTGTAGTGTAACAGTATAGCTAAAATTGTGTCAATATCCTGAAAATGAAGCTTTGAAGATGTACCAATCCAGTTCAACTTTTCTTAGATGTTGCCAAACTGCAAATTACATTGGTGAAAGAAAGGGACAAAAAGCTGTAGGAGGAAATTTTTTTGCATTATGAAATAGACCAGCTAATTCTTCAACGGTAGCAAAAAACAATCTACAAAATTATGTTACAAAATCTTACTCTATTTTTTAGTATAATTTTGCCACTATCAGACTTCTTTTTACTCTCCAAATGCAAAGAGCAATGAAAAGGAATCCAGTATGAGTTCCTCAAGAATGCACAATATGAGTCCAAAAACTACCACTTTGACATGATGTAAATCAAGGCACATAAAATTCTTCAGGGAAGGATTAGAGCAATTAAAGAAATGAGTATAGGCATAGATAGAAGGCAAGTTGAGGCACAATAGTTTCACATTTTGGTGTATTTGTTTAATAAAGGTTTCTATGAATTAGTAACAATACTTTTTGAATTAACCTAGTATGTTGTTGTTCTTAGGTGTCATCAAGTTGGTTTCAACTCATAGTGACCTTATTTAAAACAGAACAAAACACTGTCCGGTCCTGGGCTAACCTCACAATTGTTGCCATGCTTAAGCCAATTGATGTTGCCACTTTGCCAATCCATCTCACTGAGGGTCTTACTCTTTTTCTCTGATCCTTCAACTTACCAAACATGATATCCCTCTCCAGTGACTGGTCCCTCCTGACAATAAGTCCAAATTATAAGAGACGAAGTCTGGCCATCCTGGTCTCCAAGGAGCACTCTGGCTGTACGTCTTCCAAAACAGATCTGTGTGTTCATCTGGCAGCCCATGGTACTTTCAATGTTCTCCTCCAACACCATAACTCAAATGCATCAATTTTTCTATGATCCTCCTTATTCACTGTCCAGCTTTTGCATTTCAATGAGGTTATTGAAAATACCATGGCTTGGGTTAGGCGCACCTTAGTCCTCAAGCTGACATCTTTGTTCTTCAACACTTTAAAAAGGTCTTGTGTAGCAGATTTGCCTAATGCATTACATTATTTGATTTCTTGACTGTTGCTTCCATGAGTGTTGATAGTTGATCCAAGAAAAATGAAGTCTTTGGCAACTTCAATCTTTTCTCCATTGATAAGAATGATGCTTATTTGTCCAGTAGTGAGGATTTTTGTTTTCTTTATATTGAAATACAATCCATACTGAAGGCTGTGGTCCTTGATCTTCATCAGTAAATATTTTAAGTTCTCTTCACTTTCAGCAAGCAAGGTTGTATCATGTGCATATCGCAGGTTGTTAATGAGTCTTCTTCCAATCCTGATGCCACATTTTTTTTTTCACGTAATCTGGCTTCATGGATTATTTGCTCAGTATAGAGGTTGAATAAGTATGGTGAAAGAATACAACCCTGTTGCACCCCATTCCTCATTTTAAACCATTCAGTGTTCCCATGTTCTGTTCAAATAACTGCCTCTTGATCACTGTACAGGATCCTAATGAGCACAATTAAGCATTCAGGAATACTCATATTTAACAATGTTGTCCATAACATGTCATGAGCCACATAATTGAATACTTTTGCATAGTCAATAAAGCACAGGTAAACATCTTTCTGGTATTCTCTGCTTTCAGCCAAAATCCATGTAATGTCAGCAATAATATGCCTCATTTCACGTCCTCTTCTGAATCTGGCTTGAATCCCTGGAAGTTCTCTGTCAATGTATGCTTGAAGCTGTTTCTATATTAACTTTAGTAAAACTTTTTAGTAAAATCTATTGTCCAATGATTTCTGCATTCCATTGAGTCACCTTTCTTTGGAGTTGTCACAAATATGGATCTTTTCCAATCAGTTGGCCAGATAGTTGCCTTTCAATTTTCTTGGCATAGATGAGTGAGTGCTTCCATTGCCACCTCACTTTGTTGAAAGATTTCAATTTGTATTTCATCAATTCCTGGTGCCTTATTCTTTGCCAATTCCCTCAATGCACCTTAGACTTCTTCCTTCAATACCATTGGCTCTTGATCTTATGCTAACTGTTGAAATGACTGAACATCAACCATGTCCTTTTGTTAAAGTGACTGTGTATTCTTTCCATATTCTTTTTTTTTTTTAAGTTTTTATTGTGAATTATGTGGGTTTACATGGGTAAACATAAGCTTTACATTCATCCTATCGTATTTCTTTTCATTGCAATGATTACAATCCCCTCCATGCATCATCAAATAACCAAAGGATACACCTCACAGGCCCACCCCCCTGGCTGTCAGCACACAACCCCTCTCACTCCCTGAGTCCCATGTCCCCAGCCACTCCATCTGTCCATGTCATCATCTCCGTCTCCATGCCTGGTGTCACTGCTTCTCTGTTTAGGGTCACGCTCTCCTCTCTTCACAATTGATGGTCCCAGGACCTCTGCTTCTGGGCTACAAAATCAGTCACTCCCCTCCTTTTGTCAAAAAAAAAAAAAAAAATCTATCCTATATTTTCGACCCTCACAGTCAGTCCGGATGGCAATTATTACCTGTTGTACCACAAGAGTCTTAGCTCCATTTCCTTTTGCCAGCCTGGTCCCAACATATTGGAAACCATTCAGTGGAGGTTCTACCTACCCCAGCCAGGTCTGGAACTAGGTTCCCTCTTGAAAGCTTGTAAGCCTGTCAATTATTGCCTTTCTAGGACCCCCCCCCACCAGCATTTTGGGTGACCAATGTCTAAGTAGCCCATCCCTGTCAATCCTATGTACTGAGAGGGTGGGAGTGATCCTTGCTGCAAAGATTTGTTACCTTTTTTTAGCACTACATCCATACGTATAGGTAAAGTTCATCAAATTATAGTGGGTTACTTGTTCTAA